AATTATTACGATAATATAACTTGCATATTCTCGTAGAATGCTACTTAATTCCCCCTCTCCCACCAGAACTAATTTTTCAGCAATATTAATTGTCAAGGTAAAGGAATAATTAAAAATCATTCTAAAGAATTTATAATTAGGAGAAATCCAACACCATGAACCATTAATGGAAGCATAGAAAGGAGAATTTGGAGCTTGAAAGGCCAAACCCAGAAGGGAAATTAATAAATTCAAAGGCCAAATTGTAAACATGCTTGAAACCACCAGACGTGGAAATTCATAAGAAGTTGTGAGTGAATTTATATGAAAACATATGACAAGTATCCAAAAGCCTAACATTAAAAGAAATTATATCAGTCAGCGAACTTAAAGTGATTAACACGAAAGTAAAAAGAAAAATTACCAGAAGAAACGTCACCAAAATTGATCAGAAAACCTTGTATACTACAGATGGAACCAGTCTCTATTTTACCAATTCTTATCCAATTATAACTAAGCATGAAACCAATGGAATATAAAAAATTGGAAACGAGCAAATTTAACACTAAGCGAGTGTCCACGTTAAATATTATATTTTTTTTGATTGCTTTCCATACAAGTAGTATAAAACATGCAAGGTTACTTAGGGTGCTGACACAACACACTATTATCATTACTTGAACATGTTTCGTAGAGAAAGTTGGATCAACGACATTATATGAGACAGTACTATTAATAGAGTTCATGATAATTTACGAAAAGGGATACATGAAAGGAAATGAAAGTAAGCAGGATAATAATTTAATCAATAGACGAATTAAAGGATATAAAGCAATATCATTTAAAATTTTATACCAAAGAAAAAAACGAAAAGAATGAATTTGGTACAAAAATACTTTAGAGAATAAAATTGTAGCAAGAAGTAATAATACGTACGCACGTATAGTACGTACAGTACATATGTACAAAGCCGATATTTATAAGTAATACATAATTTGCCAAGTTAACTAGTGAAGGATTGAAAGACCTGGATTTGGTAAGTCTAAAATGTACTGAACCAATTAAAGTCAGTACAGATTTTTTTTGGGTACATAACAAACAAATAATATCATACGACATTTCTTTGTGTCACTGATAAAAAAAATCAAAATTGTGTTAAGCCAATAAAATTCCTGGAATTGTTATTGATAAATTTCTTTTAAATATCGACATGCATTTATTTATGTACGTGCTGCAAAAGAAACTAGCAATTAAGAAAGGTGTATAAAGTTTCCCAATATAGAAGTGGGCTGGCGGGTCAATGTAAGGTCAAATTTTTGGCCAATAGACTTGCAATATAGATGTTGGTTAGGAATAATCCTTTTTTTTCGAATCCTAATTTTTTTGTAAATTTTATGTTTTCATTAAATAATTTCTCTTCTCTTTCATATATTACATTGATTCACATACACCAACTAACCTTGACTCGGCGATGAGATTCAAAACAGAACTCAAGTAGAAAGGTCGTTCCAGATAACCCGCCGAGTTTTTTTTGATCTCGACCCCCGGCCCGTATTACTTCTTCACTTAAAGATATTGGCTGAACAATTCACTGTTTCTATGTAAAAAAGATGTATAATAATGATCAATCCCGCTGATGCACTATACGTATATAGTATATACAAACTTATATGTACGTACGTACGTACTGTATATTATGCTCTTCTTGAATTAAAGTTCTTGGATGTTTTTTATTTAATTTTTCGTTATTTTGTACGTACCTACGTATGTGCGTGCAGCACTAACGTCACTAGTTACGTCATATCTGCTGATTTTGTTTTTTTGGACTTTTTTTTTTAACTTAATTAAATATATAGACATAGCTAAAATTCATTGGTTCATAAGTGACCTCATGGTTAGACGGTAATGTTATTATCGAAGAACATACTAAATTATAGGTTACAAACAAAATCAACGGATACGTATTGTTAACAAGACTTATAAAATTTAACCCTTCTTTAATGGTTAAGAATTGGGTATTTTTCCTTTTTTTGTGTTAAGTTATAGGGAAAATAACTTGAAAATTTTTCTTCTTTTACAAACCGTATGTTACTTCCGTCTGTTCCGTACTGTACTACGTTACTACAGTATCTGCTATATCAATATCTCATATTATAATTATTTAAGTCTGTTTGAGCTAAGATTTTTTACGTCAACTCTAAGCCTGCTTCACGTTCAATCGTAAACATGATATTTAAATTGTATGTATTGTCACGGGGAGTTTTGACACGAGATAGCAATTATTACCAAATTTAGTATAATTGTAAATAATGTAAAAATTGT